AATTTCATTATTTAAAAACTATCTAAAAAAATACAGAGACAAAAATCAAAATTTTATCTAACTTATATGAGCGAAATAAAAAATTAATACAAATTTCTTTAATCGTGAGAAATAAATATTTTTGAAGAAATAGTATCATATATCAACATCATAAATGATAGAATAGATAATATTCTTGCCATTAAACATAATTATTTTTGTAATTATTTATAATTATTTTTATTTATATCTGTCATTACTCATAGGTTGAATAACCTATTATTATTGTATTATATATACTCTTGATCAGATGAATAAAACACAGACAATTATATTATACTCATAGCACTTCAGATCACTCCCTTTTCATCTACCGACGTGGCTCTGATTTGGATTACATCTTGCTCTATGTTGATGACATCATCCTCATCACCTCCTCCCATGATCTTCGAAAATCCATTATGGCACTTCTTGCCTCTGAGTTTGCTATGAAAGATTTGGGTCCACTGAGTTACTTTTTGGGCATTGTCGTGACCAGACACGCCAATGGGCTCTTCCTTAGTCAGAGTAACTATGTTGGTGAAATTATTGCCCGAGCAGGCATGGCCTCGTGCAAACCTTCTGCTACACCAGTTGACACCAAACAAAAACTCAGTACATCTGTTGGCACTCCGTACGACGATCCTACCTCATATCGAAGTCTTGCAGGAGCCTTGCAGTATCTCACTTTCACCCGTCCTGACATCTCTTATGCTGTCTAGCAGGTGTGCCTTCACATGCATGCTCCTTTTACCGACCACATGCTTGCGCTCAAACGCATCCTACGTTATGTTCAGGGCACCCTACATTATGGTTTGCATCTTTATCCATCCCCTATTGAGAAACTTGTCTCCTATACTGATGCTGATTGGGGTGGATGTCCTGACACCCGCCGTTCTACCTCCGGCTATTGTGTGTTTCTCGGTGAAAACCTCATTTCCTGGTCTTCTAAGAGACAACCCACACTTTCTCGCTCCAGTGCAGAAGCTGAGTACAGGGGTGTTGCTAATGTGGTATCTGAATCTTGTTGGCTTCGCAACCTTCTCTTGGAGCTTCACTTTCCACTCTCTCAGGCGTGCCATCTACCTATCTGGAAATCCGGTACAACATCAACGCACTAAACATATTAAGATGAACATTCACTTTGTTCGGGAAAAGGTCGCTCGTGGCCAGGCACGCATCCTTCATGTTCCCTCCCGTCACCAAATTGCCGACATCTTCACCAAAGGCCTACCTCGTGTTCTTTTTGATGATTTTCGGATCAGTCTAAGCGTCCGTGAACCTCCCGCTTCGACTGTGATAGAATAGATAATATTCTTGCCATGAAACATAATTATTTTTGTAATTATTTATAATTATTTTCATTTATATCTGTCATTACTCATAGGTTGAATAACCTATTATTATTGTATTATATATACTCTTGATCAGATGAATAAAACACAGACAATTATATTATAATAATATTCTCTCTTACAATAAAAAAAATTGTTATTGTTTAAGAGTATAAATATATAAATTTAGAGGTATAATAGAAATTTAAAAAAGAACAAATTAAAACATAAAAAAGTTAAAATAAAAAAAAATAGAGAAAACATATTTTTAAAGAGAGAAGTTATTGTTACAGTGAAGATAATTTATTAATATTGTGATTTAGTGGAATAATTTAGGATTGGTTTCTGATCTTACCTGATTAGAAAGGAATCAATGTCGTGAGTTGCCGTCTTTATCGGAGTTGTGGAGGAGAAAATGAGGTGTACCTGCAAAATGCTTTGATGCTTAAGTAATTATCGAAACTAGAGAGAGCAAGTACATAAAAAGGATGTAGTGAATAGAATACATGACCCTCTAGTGAAAAATGGTATTTACAATGTACCCCCAACACAGGGCCAACGATTACATTGCATTGGGCCGAATTGTCAAGCCCAACACAAGTAACTGTCAGGGCTTACGTGGCGTAGTGCAGACTAGCACGTGGTCTTCGCCCTGGATCAACTGTCCCGTGTTTTTTGGAAGGTGGGATGACCATCTCTTTCGAAAGTAGGTAGTTGCCTGATTATGTGTCCTCGTGTGGGGGACACGTGAAGAACTTGGGAGGAAGCGCGTGGGCCTCCCCGTCAAGAGAGTCTTCTGCCCGACGGATGTGCCTCGCTGAGGCTTGTGTCCGACAGAGAAAATTGAGTCTTGTTGGACCTTATCAGTATAGTCTTGGGTTGACCCTGTCCGGCTGAAGTGTAGGTCTCGGTACAGTCTAGAACAATTTCTTTTAGTTTTTTAAAAATAATTTATAATATTACGTTTTTTTGTTTAAAAATAATTATAAAATATTTTAAACCAACATCAAATAAAAAATTGGTTTAAAAAATTGTTCTGTATATTTCTTTTTTTAATACTTTTTTGCATATTAAATTTTTAAAAAATTATTTAAATTTAAAGTTATCTTAAATAATTTTTCATAATAATTATTTAAGATTAATTGTTATGCATTGTTAGTGTATTTACAATGTCAATAAATCACTATCATTCGTTAGTATTATTTTTTAAGTAGTTAAAATAGAAGTCAAACATTTTAAATAAATTAATTGTTCTAATTATGTCAGTATATGTCAATTAAATTCTAATTAATACATTCCTATATAAAATTTATAATTTTATGTTTTAATCTTCATATATTTTAATTTTGATAAAAAAAAATTTATAAGATTATAACTTAATATAATGAAATATTAAATTTGTCAATCAACAAAATTGACTCTAAAATAAGACGGAGAATAAAACTGAAAAAAATGAAATAAATAAAATTAGTTTTTAAAACAAAATTAAAAAACAAATGCAATCGACAAATGGCGCGCGTGGGATTGAGTTTAACTTTTTAACCGTAATCGTATCATAATTATTGTTAGGATTGGTTATAGGAGCTATCTTTCCTCACTTTCCCTTCTTCTCTTCTCTTCTTCTCAACTTCACTTCACCATTTTCAATCTTCCATCGCTCTTTCAAGGTACTTTCCTTTCTTCAACTCTTTCAAAGCAATTTTTTTAATCAATTTTGGTTGTGTTATCTGTGATTTTGTGATTTTTGAATTGAATTAATTTGATTTTGTTAGAACTTAGAACAGAAAATTTGGTTCTTATGAAAGTAGATAAATAGTGTAAACTACTTGATCATAGAGTTCAACTAATTATAATAGCATTTACGATCTATCTATGTATCACTGACACCTTTGAAAAAGACGTGTCTGTGTTGTGTCAGAATTTGACAAGTGCACTGGTATTTGTAATTACGTTTAATTTATTATTTTTTTAAATAATTACCAATGTCTGAGTTTTATTCGGGGTGTCTGTGCTTTATAGTTTACAATTATGCAATTTTTTAGAGTTATAAAGGATTATAAGGTGTTTAAATATTACAGATAAATAATCATACACAAGAGTGTAAATGATTGATTGCATAGTTAAGTCAATTGGGGCTAGCTAGGTGATTTTAGGATTATGCGATTCTTAGTGTTACAAAGTATAATTATAATAAGGTGTTTAAATACTATAGATGAATAAATCATACACGAGAACATACACGATTTAATACGAAGTTTAGCCAATTGTGTTTACGTCTCTAACAAGTAAGTTGTTTTTTGATGATGTGAATCTTAGAATTGCAGAGTATAATGCAATGTTTATACACTAGAGTAGTTTTTTTGATGATTGGTTGTTGGAGTGTGAAAAAATAAATTTATGTGATATATTTGGAGAAATGCTAGGCTTACACCAAATTATACACCGTAGTAGCTGTGTTACACCGTAGCTTGAAACATTACTTTTAGAGCGACTCAAATTCCAATGCACATGACAATGATAAAATAAGGGAAAGAATGGATTGTACAGTATATAAATACGGTGTGGTTGTTAAATTTGGTGTAAGCCTAGCATTTCTGATATATTTGATGAGAAATGTTGGTTCTCATTTGTGATAAATTGCTTGTGAGGAACTTAAATGTGTGCCCATAGTCACACGGTTCGCAGTTCACAACTCTCAACGAATTAGGTACATGAGAGTATACAGAGTCGTACGTTATTTGGATTTGTGGTACGTTCAAACATATTACCTGGTACGCTATTATTAAAAAATGGTTTAATTAGATTGAAATGGTGTGATCAATTGATTTACAATTTTCATTAAAATGATAATAATCTTTAAAATTAAGAAAATAGTTAAAAGTTTTTTTTTTTAATTTTAGTTTACTGGACAATTATTGTCCATTCAAACTTGAAATTTAGAATTGGTTCATTGGTACTTCATTTTACACAAGTCCTGTGCCAACCGATACTTGCGAAACAAGAATCTGCGAATTATATGACTGTGTGTTTTCTCAAATATGGAATGAAACATAGAAGTTATGTAATTATGGACATCAATGTGTTTAGGCTGAAACTGAGTTTGATTTGTGTTAGGAATTAATACTGATTTTGAATTTGATATATCTGTAGTAGATTAAATGAATTCTCCTAAACGATATATACAAGCTATAAAGCACTCAGATAGATCTATCTAGACACTCAAAACACAACACTGATACTTAGACACCACTAATAATTTAAGAAAATGCGAGTGAATAAATATAACCACATTGTCAGTGTTATGTGTGTGTTGGACACTGACACGTATAGGACATCAGATACATCTTCAATATGATGCATCACTGCTACATATAGTTCATAAGGTTTACTATCCCTTTTCGCCTGTTTTTATCTTCATTGTTTGTTCTTAGTTCTAACAATGCACGGTCTTTCAAATGGAGCATAAAAAAGAAATGCAAATATGTCCTTTTTTTTTATCATTTGTGTCTGAAGTAACAGAAATGTTCCTTTCAGGATCACTTTCTCTTGTTCTTATCAGGTATCAAAGTTTACATTCTTTGCTTTCTGCAGGTTTGTGGAATCTGGTTCTGTTTCTCCATTTTGAGATTTTCCAAAAACTTGATAATCATGTATCCTGGTGGTTATACTGCTGAAATTACAAACTTATCTCCAAGAGCTACTGAGAAGGACGTGCACGATTTTTTTGGATACTGTGGTGTGATTGAGCGCGTTGACGTGATAAGGTACTGTTACATAGGTTGTTAATTATGATCAGTAGATGGTTACTAGATATATTAGTAGAAACTCATTAACCACTAACATAATTTCATTAGCCACAAGTTTCAATGCGGTTAACCATAAATTTCTAGATGTTTCACTACATGTGGATTTGAACACTTTAAAATCGTGGTTAATGAAAATACGTTAATGGTTAATGAGTTTTGACACTTGATATATCTTTTAACCATTTTCTGAAATTGCATGTTGTACGTTGGAAGGCTTAGATGGTAGAAATGTTAGTTTACTTTATAGTATCGGCGAAGAACTGTTTGAACTAATTGAAAAAAATAATTTGTTTTTTATCATGAGACAGACACAGTGATTTTGATTCTACTGCATATGTGACTTTTAAGGAAGCTTATGCCCTGGAAACGGCATTATTGCTTAATGTAAGGTTCTTACCTTCTTTGTTTGATAACATTGATCAACATAATACATATTGAATCGCATTAGTGTATTGTGATATTTGTACCTGTTCAATTCAATTCATCTTGTTTTAATGTAGAACGTTACCGAATCGGCGGTAACGTAACATTGTACTGGTATAAATCTGTATGCTAATATGCATATATTCTCGTTCAGGGTTCGATGATTTTGGACCAAAGCATTTCCATTTCGCGCTGGGAAGCTTATACAGATGACAATAATTGGAACAGGAATAAAATTGAAGACAGTATTACATACTCTCAAGTATGCCTTAAAAAGCTCTCTAACTTTTAGTTTGACCAGAGTGAGAATTTAAGTTTTTTAATTATTTCATTACATTTTTGAATATATTCATAAACCATCAACTTAAGTCACTGGTTGATACTCTGTCAAATACACACGAGAAATTATATACGACAAAAAAAGTTAGAAGTTATTTGATTATAATTCAGTACTATCAAAACCTGATATTCATGGCAATGTCTTAGATAATTTGATGGATATATATATATATATATATATATATATATATATATATATATATATATATATATATATATATATATATATATATATATATATATATATATATATATATATATATATATATATATATATATATATATATATATATATATATATATATATATATATATATATATATATATATATATATATGTCAACCATTGTTTTCTTTTCAATCATCACGATCCGTTTCCCTAGAGCAACTTGAAGCCGTTTGGATTGACTTGTTTGAACTAATCTACTGGCATAATCAAGCACTCATGCGACTGTTTGAAAGAATTTATAGAAACAACTTATAACTTGTCTATTATAAGGTATTTTTAGTTTATTTTCATAAGTTTTCCAGGATAACTTATGAAAACAACCTTATATGAAAACATTTTGACTTTAATTTATCTATTATTATGGAAATAGCTTATAGTTTATATGAAAACTGTTTAACTTCATTATATGATATAAGTGCTTAATTAATCTGTTTATCAAAGTAGAGCCTTTATCAATAGTTTATCAAAAAGTTATTTTCTTTTTAGGATATTCACATGGATAAGTTTGTTTCTTCCCCTGGAGAAGCTTTTACTATGGCCCAACAAGTTGTCAAAACAATGGTAGCAAAAGGATATGTACTGAGCAAAGACGCATTTGTGATGGCAAAAGCTTTCGACGAATCGTGCAGTGTATCATCCACTGCATCAGCCAAAGTTGCCGAACTCAGCAACAAAATTGGATTGACAGAAACCATAAATTCAGGTATTGAAACTTTCAAATCTGTTGACGAAAAATATCATGTTACAGATATCACGAAATCGGCCGCAGCGGTTACAGGGACAACAGCTATAGTTGTGGCAACAGTTACTGGAAGAGCAGCTGTGGCTGCGAGTAATGCTATAGTCAATAGCAGCTATTTTGCGAAAGGAGCACTTTGGGTTTCAGATATGTTATCTCGTGCGGCGAAATCAGCCGCTGATTTGGGTCAGCATCAAAACAAATGAAACTCGAAAACATACATGGCTCGGTCTATTATGTTTGGTTGTTGTACACAAACAAATCGAAACAATAATTTGGTGATACTGTATCGGTTTGACGTTACTTATCTGGTGCAAATGTTGATACCAGAGGATCCATGATAAGTTGCAACTGTATCCTTTTAGAAATCACCAAACAAAACATAGTTATTTGTATTTATTGAGTTTCATCATGTCTATTATTGTATTAATAACTAGTTTTGTTAAGTTTAATTACTATGTAATGACAACTTAATATGCTGTTATATGAATAAGTCCAATCATATTTTACAATGCCGTTATTTGTGCAGATAGTTTAAGATTTAGGGAATAGTATTACAAAAACATGACATTATGTTGAGATATATGATTGGACTCTTGGAAATTTTCACACTATCCTGTTATCACTTTTTTTTTTTGGACATTTGTTTGAGTTATTCTACATGTGCCGTAGGTATGTTATATCAAACACGCATGATTGTAGAGGTGTTTGTGCTTCATAGGTTTTGACCGCACCTAATTGTAGAGGTGTTTGTGCTTCATAGGTTTTGATCGGTAAATATTATTTGGACGACATAATCTAATTTATCAAAGATGGCAATGATAAGATGATATCAAGAGAGTTCACTAATGAAGTAGACATCTTAACAGTATTATTGGCTTTTAGACATACTCCAAGACTCGAAGACAGAGACATCTTAAGATTTTGAAAGTTATGTGTAAGTTAGTCATAGTTTAACTTTAAACAAATAATAAGGATATTGTTTAGCTACGGTTTAATCCTGACAATTATTTTATGAAACTTTATTTAATTATGATTTAATTGTGATAAAATTTTAAATTCAGCGCGGTAGTCCGCCTTACACACCGTCCTACTTAAAGGTCACAAGATTGCACACCATCCTACTTAAATGTCACAAGATTGATCATGCTCTAGGAAGAATCTCCAAAACTTTTAGAAAACTTTTGCTTCATGAAAAATGGTACCTCCAAATTAACTTAATTGGGTCATATTTCTTAGTTGCATCAACACACTTTTCATGCTACCAACACACTTAGTTGTTACTTAATCTCAAAACATAACAAGACAATGATTTACATAATAACATGCTAACCACTTTCTAATATTTTAAAGTTTCAACTGATTCCTTGCCAACTATATTGTTTTGCTTTTTTAAGTATCATAGCCAATACATCTCACTCCTAACAATTTATCATTCCCTTTACAACTCAACCACTTGTTTGCCGTGACCAACCTACTTTTGTTCAATAATATGAAGTTATATGGATTGATATATGAGATTATTTCAATGTTTCTTTCACTTATTGATCTTAATCATCACACTTTGTGAGTTTTTCTACCAAAAGTCATGTTGATTACAAATGTTCATGGGTTTGGTTTTGTAATGAGTAATGTGGAATGTGAGTTCCCTTTCATACATAAAATATTATCCTGTACATGAATGGACACATCTAACATTAAGGACTGTAATTATCATCTACTCCCACCAACCACCTAGATGGATTATGATTTTGATTTGATGACAAGAGACGTGTGGCCAATTGAGAATTTCTTACATCTAGCTAAGTCTATTCATTACATAAACCCATGATGATGATTAAAGAAAACACACGAGTAGGTGAAGAAAAAAAGTTTGCTTCTTTTTGTCATAAATCATTTGGATCCTTAGTTGTGTAATCTTTCGTAAATGACACGATATGGTTTTTAGTTCCTAACTTATGAGTATTATTAATAATATTTTTGTATAAATAGTTCATATAATAGTGACATTGATATAGAAAAATGACAAGTATTTTAAAATATTTATTAGTTACTAAATTATGACAATTAATTTTGAATTGTTGGAGTAATTAGGTGTCTCAAATGTGGCACCTCCCTTTAATAATCAATAATGATAATTATAAAAGTTTGAAAACCCTTCAAAATTGCAACCGACCCTTTGAAAGAGTATTGTTATGATGTTAAATAAAGTCAAAATTTGTAAAAAAATTCAAATCTTTATGTTGTGGACCATATAGTCTAAGAAAATGTCATTTTCCTTCTTAGAAGATTAGAATTTAAAAGTTAGTGGTTTTAAATTCCTCTAATTAAAAGTCTGATTTTGCAATTAAAGAGTGTAGAAAAAAAATTATTAACCAAAGATATCAATGTATTCAGTAGATTTATAAATCTCTATTGAATTGTGCATATCAATTAAATTTAAAAATAATTTAATAGAACATAACAAAATGCATAACAATGTTCGGAAAATCGAAAAAGAATAAATAAAATCGTTGAATATTTCGACTAATCTGAATTAACGTTTAAATAAGTTGAAAGTGTTAAAAAACCTAGATTTTAATTTTTGTAAATAAATTATTAAATAAATATTTTCTCATAAAAAGTATTAGATTGAAAATTTGAGAGGATTTCTTTAACTTTGAAGTTACTTCATGTACTTTTTAACTTTTGACTAGATTATAGAAGAAATCGTCTACTAGATACATTTTCATTTGACAAATTTATCATCTACTTTATTAAAATTGTTTAAAAATCATCTTTTAAAAATAACTAATTTTTATTATAATAATAATTTTAGGAGCTATAGTGGAGATACATTAATATAAATAACTTTTTCATCAAAAAAAAATATTATTTTGACTTAATCACAAGTGTCTCGTCGAAGTTGACCCAAGAAAATGTCTACCTAATATGCTATTTTGTGTCCAACTTAATCTTAATTAATCAAAAAAAAAAAAAGCAAAGAAAATGTGGAATGATGGTTTAAAAAATAATAAGTAGAAAACAAATATAATAAAATGAAACATGTGTAAAGGGGATTAATAAATAACATGGCAAACACTTTCTTAAGTAAGAAGAAACAAAATGCTACTAAGTATTAACTATTAACAATCTTTGTATTTGTAATTCTTTTTTTCTTTTTCAATTCTTTTGAATTATACATGAAAGGAAATTGTATACAAGATTTCTATCTTTTTCTGAAAAAAATGAAACGTATACACTTTGTAGCAAATTGCACTAATTGTGCAGAGGAATGATTAGAACAAGTTATTCACTATACAACAGAAAAAACTCACCAAAAAAATCAAAATTTGGTCACTATGTGCATGTTTGAAATCAAACTCAATTTGACGAAATCACAGGAACATGATTTTGTTAAACTGAGTCTGATATAATTCAAACATGTACTAAAAATCACCTGAATTTGAAAACAAAAACTAGTAGCAGCACACAGAGCAACGAATTAGTCCATTTTCGTTACAATCCGGGCAACGTTGAAATCCAGACTCACCATCTTCGTCATGATCATCGTATCGTTCTTCTTCGTCGTCTTGATCACGGCCTTCGTGGTAGATTTTACAACTTCCAAAACAAGTTTCACAAGGAACAAACCTTATATCACCGCAATTCTCGCATTCCCCACAACTATCCTCAATTTTCTCACAACATTCCAACAATTTCTCAAGCTTTCCATCTTCATGCATTTTCTCAATTTCCTCAACTCCACCAATGTAGTTTCCACCAACAAAAACCCTTGGCAATCTTCCTCCACCATACAAATCACCTAAAAGCTCTCTTAACTCTTCCTTGAACCCTAAATGCATTGACACATCTCTCTCATCAATTTTCATTCCTAACCCTCTCAATATCATCCTCACTTGACAACAATCTTCATAAGTCTTTCTCACTCCTCTCAAGCTTGTGAAGTACAAAACAACCTTTTCCTTCCCACCAACCTTAGCATCCACAAAAAGATCATCATCATCATCACCATCATCATCAAACCGTAGCTTATCTTCGCGAATCGGTGTCTGCCTAAGATGAAAAGGACTATCATGAGAGATTTGTTGTAAAGACATCTTGAATGATGAAATCACCTCCGGATCAAAATCCGATATCGCCGGATTGAGTTTTGATTCATCCTCCTGCCAAAAGGGCTTAGGAGGATGAACACCAACACCAACACCAACACAATCATCAACAACAACAACACCATTGACATCAAAAGAGAAGCTTTTGAAGTGATTCGGCGATCGAAAAGGACTAACATCCTCAAGACCTTCCATTAACTCCCATGTATTGATTGTTTCTGGCTCACCAGGTGGTGTTCTTGTTGGTGTCATAGGAACAACTTTTGTTAACTTTTCTTCAATCATACTAGACCAAGTCTTAGCCTCAATCAACCCCATTGAAAAATCTTCAACTTTCTCATCAATTTCCAATTCTTCTTTCTCATTTTTCTCCTTTTCCCTTTCCTTGTTGAGTTTTTGCATTAAGCTTTCTCTATCAAACCTAAAACTCCCATTCTCTTCCACTTTACCATTAGAGAATCTAAAATCACCATTGAAACTAGAAGGAGAATTGAGTTTGAGATTACCTAATGTGGTTGATGTGAGTGCTACAGCATGGTAACTATCATCATCCTGTGATTGAGGTGGGTGATGAACATGCATTGAATAGCTTCTTGGAACTGGCGAATAGGGGTTGTTACAATGTCTACATCGCTTTTGCTTGGAATTTGCGCAACCCATTCTCAATGGAAATCGAAATTTGAATCAATCAATAATAAAAATCCAAACTTTGATGATTTAAAATTCTGGGTCATAAATTTCTAGATGAGAAAATGCATCAAAAACTCAAAGAACAAAGATAGATCTTTTTTATGCGACAAAACAAAGAACAAGATCAAAAACAAAGTACAAGGATGTTTGAAGAATTCCTACGTGTGAAATCTAGGAAGATGAAAATGGATTGAAAAGTCAAAAGGAGGAGGCTGAAGATGAATTGAAAATGTACTCTGATGATTCCACACGCTCTGTGTTCTCTCTTTCTAGAATTTTTAGAGAGAGAAAACGACAAAGTTTTTGAAGAAAGAAACAACCTTAGTTGGAAAAATATTAAGGATGTGTGAGTTTAGTTTAGTTTGATTTATACGATGGATTACGAAATTATAATAATATTTATGTTTGTTGGGAAAATAAAAATCAATATTTGTAAGTGAAAAATGATCAATATGGGTCATTTGGCAAGTCATGTTGAGCGTAGGGATCTCAATCAATCCTTTAAAAAATAAAATTCTTTACATAGAATTTTGGTTCTCTATTTTAAAAATAAAATAAAATTTTGATTTTTCTATTTTAAAAACTATTTTTTGATTATTTCAAAAATAATAAGATGAATTTTAAATTTATTCAATTAGATTTTGTCACGATGATAAATTTGATTTTAAAATAGAATGACACATCAAAATCTAAAAGAAAAAAAATGACATTGAGACCTCTAGAGTATTGTTTTTTCTCTTAAATGGTTTGAATATGAGCTAAAATGTGCGATTAAACTATAAAAATAATCAAATAGTAGTAAAAACAGTTCAAGGTTCAACTGAGTGAAAATTCGATTAAAATTTTAAAATACTAATGTTAATAGTTATTCTTGGTACACACTATTCTTTGCATAAATCTATGAGAACATTTGATATTTTTCGTATAGTTTGGGGAGAAGGGTATCATCCACCATTCAGTGACCATCGTTATAGACTAGAATATTGTCGTCTAACCTATGTTGTCTTTTAGAAAATGATATAATGGGCGGTTCCCCGAATAATCGATTCTCCATACTAGTATAAGCTTGCTTGGCTAATATGTAAGTGAAAGCAATTCTTATTTTATTAAGATAAATCATCTAACATTATGTACTTCGACTTATGTCACACCTCTAACTAACGAAGAAAAACTCGATCTCATATGTTAGGTATGACCTACAAGGCTTCAACAAGTTAGCTAACATACATAGTGGTTACATTGAGCTAATCGTCATCTTCAACAAAGAAGAAACTTAGAAAGCATTCAATGTTCAGTTCTTGGTGGTCGATTGCAAGTCGATCTATAACTAAAACATTAGGCAACATATGCTGTGATAGTAGATCTAAAGATGACATACCACGTCTCACCAACCAAAGTCGCAATAATCCATTTTGATATTGAGGCAACCAATAGGTGTTTCCTCGTTGCATTAAAGAATCATAAAGCCATCATAAAAATTCAGATTGAAGATAAATTTAGTTTTGAAGGGAGACAAGACAAACATAAAGCCTAACAATATCAATATTTTTGAATTGGACACACACCTTTACGAATCTAGCCTAGCAGAAATGAGGATAAAATGGCGTTAAATAGAAAAATCCCAAGACCTATTCTATAGATGGTGAACTTATCTTCATAGAATTTAAAGAATACCTAGGAAAAAATCAAGACATGAGTTGGATTCCTTGAGGTTTTCATATAACACTTGGTGGTGTGCTTCTGAGAATGAAAATTTATTTTCATGCCCAACTGTTGTTATACCTAATATCAATTTCATAGTCACTTGCCATAAGTTGGCCATCAACCTCTCTTCATGTGGTTTCATCCAAAACCGACAAATCAAGTCTCCCAAAAAATCTAAAGGCGCAATTTTTTTTATTTGATTTGTTAAAAGAATGATTTGTACCCAAAGCTAAGTACACCATTTGGGTTATGAATGTTGTTATTGTAAAAAAAATTGAACAACAAATGGATAATGTATGTTGGCTATATTGATCTTAATAAGGTGTTCCCTAAGAAAGTCCACCATCTATTTAATATACATGAATTAGTTTATAAATATTACGGTTTCAAACTTTTATCTTATATGGATGGATATTCTGGTTTTTACCATGTCTGCGTGGATCCGTAAGATTGCAAAAGATAACTTTATGATTGAATTAAAAAATGATTTATACAATATGATGCTATTTGAATCAAGAACGTGTGGCTTACATACTAAAAAATGGCGAACGTTTTCTAAAAGCCTACAGAAAATATGCTTGAAGTCTATATGGACGACATAATAGTGAAGTCGACAGAGAAGGCCAATCACACTTAACATACAACTGAATTATTCAAAGAGATCCAAACCCACAACATTCAACTCAACCCAGAGAAGTGTACATTTGAAGTGCGAGATGGGAAATTTGAAATATTATATATCTCACTAAAAAGGAATTAAAGCCAACCCAAAAAATGCAAAATCACTAACCTTCTTTCTCTCAATTCTAGGAAGTCAAGCTAGAGCATAATCTACGAATTAAGCGCACTTTTCCAATTCATAGTCAAATCAACCCAACACGCCATAATATTCTACAAACTACTGGAGAAAAAGTACCATTTAAATGGATAGGTGAATGAGAGAATGTCTTATCACAATTGAAATAGGCCCCCTCTCAATCCTTATTGTCGAGAGCATTCAAATGATAAACCATCTATCTATATCATATCCATAAAAACTACTAGTGTGAACTTATTTGAGAAAACCTAAAGGGATAAAATCCAATATAGTTCACAAGTAAAGCCTACAAGGGCCAAAACAAAGGTGCCAGCAGGTTGTAAAAGTTTCATTTTCCCTCGTGCAAGAAGTTACAAGATTCCAAATCTATTTGTTCGCCCATACTATCCTATATTCAAGTTGAATCAACCGACCATACAAACCTTCTTTCCACTAGACGTCGCGAAACAAATGACATGACAATCACTTTTTTTTAATTGGATATCAAATTTGAAGCACGAAAACATTGAAAGCCAAAAGCCTCATGGATTTTATAACCAAGATAATAACTCTTAATGGAACAGGCCCTCCGCAAGATGATGGTGTTCTTATGAGGGCTATGGAATAGTAAAAAAAAATAGGGCTTGTTGTTCGAACGACAGTAAACAAGCAAGAAGTAAAAATTTAGTTTTGGAAGGATTCTCTTCGGGATTTATATCATCTCCACATGGATCAGTGTGAGGGAAAGAAAGTCGTTCAACGGTCTTCACATTTATAAGCTTATTGTGAAAATTTAGTTGAAAGATCAAGGGTACCATAAATAAAGGCAGAAAATATAAAGACGGAAAATATAAAGTAAAGACTTAAAATATAAATGAAGCCTTGTTGAGATTGGATCTCATCAATTGGTAATACATGCATTCTTCTAACCAATTAAAAACAAATCAATCATTCGTCTGATATTCTCATGTATCACCCACAATAGAGGTTATATCTAATGCAACGTCGAGAGAACAATTGTATTGTCTCATTGGTGATGTCTCACGCAACTCAACAACACAGGGCATTAAGAACTGATACTCAAGCAAATGTTAAGCCTAAATCTATGTCTAGAGTCTAGAACCTAGCAGATAATCATCCTAAATCTAGATCCGAAGAGTTTATTTCTATAACGGTTCAAATCAAAGATAAAGATGTAAACAAAGATGACATCCATATAAGATTCATGATTGATTCATATAAAACGCCATGATCAAAATACGTACAAACGCTTAACCTTTTTTACATGCATTCAACTAATTTGTCAAATGTAAGTGAACATAGTTATTCATCTCTATTATCATGTATTCTAACAATATCGTATTGATCTTACTCATGCTACTAATCAACACAATAAAATAAAAGATACAAGTGAATATCAACTTACAAGACTAGGTCAAAAGTTTAATCACTGATATATGAATATCTAAGATATAAGATTTGAAAAAGGTTTTGTCAAGACCCACAAATAAGAAATCAAAGACAACATAAATATTGAATCAAAACTAGTTCACAATACATGGATTAGATCAAAGACATAAGGTATCAATAGATTACATCCAAATCCAACAATAGATCGAAGCACTTACCTTCTCCCTCTTAGGGTTTGTGTTTCTCTCTCTAGAATATGCTTGGAATGAAGAGAGATAAAGTTCTATTTAAAAATTATAAGTTATGTTCTAAAAAGTGAGAAAAGTACTTAAATAATTATTACAAAATATATCATGTTCACCTAGCGAACACCTTCTTCGCCCAGCGAGGTCCATGTTTAGGCACTTTAAGTGCATCTGAATAGTTAAACTGCCCCTGCAAAATATTTGAGTTTGCAGTGCAAACACTTCTCTACACAGCGAACTGCTTTGCTACAGCTTCGTCCAGCGAACTTAGGGTCCTTTTCCTACTGCCTCTAATCTGAGATGGTTCGATAGGGATTCTCCAGGATCTCGCACAGCGAGCATTCGCTTTCACCTCGCTGGTGCTCGCACAATGAACATGCTAGTTCCTCTTCATTTCTTTGGATTCCTTGTTCAATACCTTGTGTCTTAATCATTGATGTTTTATGCCTATTTCCTGCACAATAACACACAAATCAAGGCATCCAAAGGTATTTGCAATATGTTGAGGAATCACACAAAAACAAGAAATAAATCTATTAAAACATGAGAATTGAGTTGAAAAATACCAAGAAAGATGACTCAATTTAAGTCAAAATTTGCACTTAACGAACTCTCTCCAACTAGATTTTTGTTTGTCCTCAAGCAAAGTATGCCCCTCATGAAAATAAGAGAAATTTGCCCAAACAAGTGAATTTTCTCAAGCACAAGATTCAACCAAGAAAGGATTAATGGTTCAAATTCAAACAAGATAGATTTGCTCAAATAAGAGGATTTGGTCAAGCATGAGGATGTGCACAAGCAATGTTCACCACTTA